AGCAAAGCCAGAATAAGCAAACGAATCTCCCTTTCTTCCATGTTTCTTCTCTCGTTCGATCAATTCGACTGGACTCTTAGACCACTAAAAACGAGGAAAGGAAGGAAAGAAAAGGTCTTTGGATTCGGTCTTCAGGGTCGAAACTGCACAAACAAAGAGTACATTCAGAAGAGTGTATTTGTTTGGAAATCACACCCCCTGCACTCCCTCCCTCTTACCATTCGGCATCGCCTCATAACGAATGATGGGAGATCCACCATCATCCGAAGGTGCCGTCCAGCTCACGACCGTCTCAGTACCTTAAGAGGGCGGATCATTCTTCTTCATATCGCAATGTTTTCCTTTAAGGACCTTTCTTATCCGTTCTTTCTATTTTTCTAATAGCGATGGCCTCCAACCTAATAGCTATCTATTAGATCTTTCTCTTTTTCTATGTCCTTCTCTTTTTGTTCCTAGCTTTAAAAAGAAGACTCGCCAGCGAGTTGTGGTCTTCTTCCGATCAGTTGGATTTCAGGTCTGCCCTCGCCTTCGGACGCAGTGATTCTCTGGGTCTCCGCACGCGAGTTGTCTGCAAAAGTGACCATGGTGGGCTGTCCAGCTTGACCCGCGCAAAGCATCGAGGCCTTAGCGGTGTTCTCTCCGCGCAAAGCAAACAAGCAAACGAAGAAGCGGCCGCAAGGGCCGCACGTGACGGGGATTCCCAGTGGTTTTCCGAATTTCTGGTGCCTTCGGAATGACATGGAGTGACTTGCAGCAGGTTGTTTGAAACAGGCTTTCCAAGCGCTGCCCCGCAGAAACGCTCACGGAAATACGGACGCAATACCCATCTCGGCACTAGGCATCCACACCACATCGGATTTCTCTCCTTCACCTGCTGCGTTGATGGCTGAGACTTTGTAGTGGTACCTGCCAGTGCCTATAGACCGCAGCAAAGCTCCGACAGCGTCAGGGACTCTCCATGCAATTGGCATAGCAAAACCACCCAACTTTTTCATATTCGAGAAGCTCTTCATGATCTTCATGAGGCAAGCTCTTAGGCTCTCAGGTCATGACAAGTATCACAGAATCTGTGGAGGTCTAAAGTCTCACAAAGTCCGGTTGCTCGAAAAAGAGGCATGCGAGTCTCCTGCATTTCTTTGAACCTGCTGCATGCAAAAGGCGCGGCGCACGTGAAGTTGGTGGTGAGGCTCAGGGATTCGAAGGCTGTTGCTGCCCCCTCGTAGATTTGATAGTACGCGCCACCTTCCAACGCCTGCACTGAACGAAAACGTGAACGATCACGGCGATCTATCAATCATTGGAACTTCAACGAAGCTCTAAGTCTTTATTTCGAGCTGCACAACACATCGAAACTTTAAAGAAACACACCTGCACCTTGCAAAAGCCACGTGAACGCGGTGTAGTTTCTTTCGGTTTGCTTCGCGCGAAATCGCCTGGTAGAGCCTATAGCTGATGATGGTGGAGCCCATGTTGTCAGGAGCAGACCACCTGAAGGACCCCCTCTCCCGGTCCTGTCTCCAAGCCCAACCATTGTGTCGTATAAGGGCTTCCAACACTTTTCCTGCATGTTCGAGCTCGAAAGAAAAGAGCAGCACATCTCAGAAAAAAAAAAAAAGCAAAATAGAAACCATTTAGTTATATTTAATTTATAGAGAACATGAAGATTTCGGAAAAGGAAACCAGACCTGCTTAAAGCAAGAAAGGAAAGTGAAGGCATGAAACAAACATCGGACGTTTGCACAGGACTCCAGCCGCTGGTCGTAATAAGGTCCTCACACGACAGTAATCGATGTTCGTGTGGAAGTGGACCGAAGTGGGGCTGCCATCCTTGTGAAGCGTCAAACACACTCTCCAGTGATGATGTGACCACCACATCTCGCCCCAAGAGTTCTGAAGATGGCTTCGTCATGGTATTCACGCGATCGATCTGTGATTCGAACAACATGAAAAGTGGAAGAAACATGTTCTTGGGAGGGGCTTCGTGGGAGCGGCTGTGATCATCACCTGAGCCTGTGGCTTGGCTGGAGAGGTCGCACATACCGTTACCACCTGCACTGTCGGTGCCACATGGCTGACTGTGCTGTAGTTAGAGAGCAAGTCTGCAACTCTAGTGAGAGTCTTTGAGTGGTAGTAGTGTTGTCTAAATAGCAAGAAAATAAAGCTGCAGTGTGCGCCGGATGCCTCTGTGCCGTATTTGCCCCAGCCAACAGCATTTCGAGCTCGGATTCGGAACTTTACTTCGTTGCCTCCAAAAGCGGCAAAACTAGAAGCAACTGGCTTGCAGAAAAGCTCTTCAAACATAAACATTAAGCTATATAAAATGGACTAGTCTAGTGCAAATCAGCTCCTAGATCAAGCCTGTCTTTAGAGCATCAAAACCATTGAAGAACACAGCATGGCTTCAACATTGAGTGCGCCACCTTTAGTACATCCCTGTGTGAGGGTTGAAAGGTCAGTGGCTGCATTTGTAGCGACCTCATCCAAAATGTTAGAGAGAGCGAGCCGTCGACCGAAAATGGTGGCATGATGGAAAGATCAAGAAAGAAAGAAATAGCCTTCGGATGGAGGCCCTTGCTAGCAGTAGAATAGCCTTAGCCTGAAAATGTCTCAAAGTCTCTGAGGAAAACAACTAAAAAAAACTTCAGTCAACGCTCTCGACTTCAGTCAACTGCGCTCCAGACCACCACCCATCCTTGGTTGTTCTCGTTGGAGGAGATCTCATAGAGATCAACCTCAAAAGGCGGATGACGGTGTCATCCGCGCACGCGGACGACGCGGACGCGGAAACGGATGCGATTCCGAGACTCCGGCAGCTACCCCGCCATTCACCAGGCTTGGAGGGAAATCCACCTGACATGGAGCGAAATCTGGTGACATCTTGCAGGAATGCTGGAATGCCTCTTGTCGCCTTAAGGCTTAGATCGAACCAGCAACAATGCTAGAGGCCCGTAAACCTTCCCCTCAGAAAAGCAGAAAAAGAACAAACGCTAAAGCTTTCCTAAGTCATGCGCAGGGTTTTTCTCGTCCAGTCCCTATAGTAACTAGTAGTTTCTTCAGCTACTAGCTCCTGGTTTCGAACTGCACCTCCCAATAACAATCAACATAGTCATAATATAAGACATTTAGTGCAAAGGTGAGATGTTCCAGACTGTTCTAGTTACTAGTTTTGTACCAAAGCGATTCGGGTGGTAACACATGCAAAGCTTCGCCTTGATGTCACCGATGGCCGGGTACTGGAAGTAGATTGCGCCTGCTGCGTGATCGATCCCTTCAAATGACCATTTCGGCGATTTCACATGCGATGTGATTCCCGTCATCTGTTGGATCTTCTGATACCCCCAAAAGTAAGCAGCAATGAAGTTGGGCCCAAAGGAGATATGCAAAACGGACTCACGTGTGAAGAACTCTCCACCTGGTGGGTCAGGTGTCTGCGCTGCATGTCCACATACAGCATCACTGAGCCGTGGCCTGAATGTTTCGAGTCATCGTGTTTAGACATTAAGGTGATTCCAAGAAGCGGTACATGGCAGGCATACTGCGCTGTCATGTTGAAGCCTTTTGATGTTGAATCACACTTGCATTGGCATGTTCCTGATATCACTTCAAGCCGTTTCTGCCAAGTTGCTGCTGATCCTCCAAGGCATTGGTCTCTGTGACAAAGTTCAAGGCAGCTACTTTGAAGCAATAGCTACCTGCAAACTGTGGAGATAACTTCGGGTTTTGCTCGTCGAAATGTTGCTGCAGCACCAGGCCCTGCTTATTGTAAATCCGGTCGTCTCAACTTCATCTTGCTGTTCTTTTTCTTTAGGCGGTTGGCCGTTGGTCCCTTCTTCCTTTCCGTATGTTCCATCACTTGTTTCATCAACCAATCATGAACATGTCCACACAACAGCAACCTGACAGCAACACGACAGCCGCTGCTCGTGCGATGTTCTCCCATTTTCGCTGAGAGCACATTGACTCCGCCGAAGCTCGTCAGCACCGACGAGCTCAGTTGTTGCCCATCTCTTGAAGATGCATCACACGCTGATCCGATTTGGTGACCTGGCTGCAAATCACTTAGTACATTTCACCACTTCACTACTCCAAATCGTCGTAGATTTCATGGACTATACAGACTGCCAGTCCCATATTTGAAAATAACTCTGACAAGAATGCCTCATGGAAACACAGTATGGTGTGGGAGTTGTGAAGTCCAAGAGGCACCTGCTTCTCTCTAAGCAAACACAGTATGGTGTTTCCCCTCGCGTCCCAAGGCCGTGGCATATCTGTCCCCTTTTTCGTGCTCCACCACGACTCTGTCCAACCCCACCTGAGTCTCCAAGGCATCCAAGGGTGTCCTGCGTTCGGTCGTGAAAAACCATAGGCTGAAGCAATAAGCAATGGCCTCCAACCTACTAGCTATGGTCTCCAACCTATTTTTTTTCTAGCGCGAACAAAAGAAAAAGAACATATGATGAGGTGAATCCAATGAATCCAATGCAGATCGGACCAACCCGCTGCACCCGGTTGGGTGCCAACCAGATCGGACCAACGATCCGACGGCTGACAGGGGCTTGATCGCGAACCTGACCAGCGACCTGTGTTTGGGCTTTCGCAAAAGAATGTGAGAAGTTCTTGAGCGACCTGTGTTGGAGTTGGTACACTTTTCATCATAGAGGTTCTTGAAGCTGCTCAACTTGCAAGCTGATACAATGTTCATCGCCCGTCTCTGCTTGGACTTCGAAAATTGCAAAGATCGGTCCTCTTCGGCTCCTGAGCTATCGGTTATCGAGCGACGGCAAGGTCGAGTCTACACAGCGACAGCTCTTTGAGTGCTGTGCCATCCCTTCCACATTCAAAGCTTCCACCATGTCATCATCATCCTCCTCACGCCAAAGCACGTGATCGTCGGGTCCTTTGAGATCGTGTCTGTCATATCGTGTCTGTCTTGCGCCTATGAAAGAAAGATTCCATGGGTGTGAAAAACATTTAAAAACACACATTGTACCATGTTGTGATCACATTGCGCATCTTGCCTCATCTTCTTCAGATGAACATCTTTCATGAATGCGGAAGATCACCCTGGACGGGCGCAGGTCAAGCACAGCAGCTAGCAGCTAGCAGCTTCACATAGCTAGCTGATTTTGGCAAGAAATGCGGTCGTCTTGCTGCCAAAGCTGCGGTGTACAAATCAAGAAGATGGAGCAAAGGACGAAGACCTCCATTGTGAGCGTTCGTTGTCTTGGAGGTCGAAGAGAACACAACGAATATGACAGTCCGTTGGTTCGGCAATATGACAGTCCGTTGCATGACCCACTTTGACGAATCCGCGTGCCTTGCAATATCTCTCGATCACAATTATCTTTTGCCTGGCGGGTGAAGAAGAGAACACGTTAGTGCAGATCGCTACGCTATGCAGTTGCTTGAAGCCTCGTCTTGTTTGGCAACGTCTCCGAACCCTTGCGAGAACCAACTATTCCAGGCCTCGCTGGGGAAAGTGTCTCTTGCTGTGGGATTGCTGGAGCTTTGAATGCCTCAGTGTCACAGTCGTCATCATTCAAAGTCCAAAAGGCCTCCGTCTCTTTCTCCCATCGCTATAGGTTGGAGGCCATCGCTTCTAGGTTGGAGGCCATTAGAATTAGTGCCAAGCAGCCTCCCAATCCATGTTCACCATGTGAAGCCTTCGAGAAGGCCCAAAGGGTTGAACCTGGACACAGTAGCGATGCACTTGTTCCGTTCGCAGCGAACATTGCTCCGTTCGTAGTAAGGCCAGGAGCACCTAATAGCTTCTTGTTACTACTAGTAAGGCACTTGTTACTAGTAGCGATGCACTTGTTTCTACTAGCTTCTTCTTACTACTAGTAAGGCACTTGTTACTAGTAGCGATGCACTTGTTTCTACTAGCTTCTTCTTACTACTAGATGCACTTGTTACTAGTAGCGATGCACTTGTTTCTACTAGCTTCTATTTTTCTCATTTGTTTTCCAAGGTTCATCACTTTCTGCAAGACTCTGTGTGAAAATACAGTTTCAAGTCATGGAATGTCATAGAACATAATCCCCCTTAAAAACAAACACTTCCTCCCAGTAGCTACAGCCGCAAACTACTCCTTCCCCACAAGAGTCAGTTAAATCTCACAGTTCAATCCGTCTCCACATGACGTTTCGGATTCGTCTCGAGGCCTGTCTGGCATTGCCATGAACAGAGTTGGCAAGTTCCGTCTCTTCCAACAGCACTGACAACCTCGCAAAACCCGCTGCGCGGAAGTGATTCACCCCACGCGTGAAATCCAACGACCCTTGACATGGCATGCCATTGGCGAAGACTCTTGCGCAAAGAGTTTTGCCGAGCTGGGAATTCCATGTTTAAAACGATTACATTGCAATACTTGATGGCATTTAATGTCACTGCAAGGCAGCCCTTTAAGATCCTTTAAGGCATGACATCTTCTGAGACGTGCTGAGGCCACCGGCTGCTTGATGTCGGCTGGCTGCGGCTCCCCTGAGTCAAATCTTCTCTTCCAAGAGATGTCATCGGCGGCCATAGAGAACCATAGAGATCATAGAGAACCATGCCATGGATTCCTTCTTTCCTTTTCTTTCCTCACTTAGACTAGCACATCTTCGCCCGCCTAGCACAAACCACCGGACGTTTGGTGTACAGGGAGGACGAGGAACGCTGCCTTCGTAACCTGCCAATCACACGTCGAAGCGATGATAGTAATGTCCGTCTACTACTGAAAGCAAAAGCCAGCCATAGATCGAACATGGCACTTCACAACATATAACATTGAGCTGCATATTTGGGTACTCTGCGCTTCACGATGGAGCCAGTATGCAGCCTGCGCACAAGGCGTCCTGCAAGCGTCACCTTCAAACGCTTCTATGACGCGGTTCTCCACACGAGATTTTGCAAGCCTTCTCAGGGGATCGTGGTGAGAACAGACTAGCAGCTCTTAGCAAGGAGGTCTAAAACGCACAGAAACGACCCATTGTGCCAAAGGCAGTGCCCAGGCCGACTCGGGAGAGAATTGAAGCGACCAGAATGTCAGGTGTCCATCCAAAGGACACACTACTAGCAATGGCCTGAGAACCCTTCCCAACGCCCAAAGCCGTTGCAAAGCCTTCGCAAGCTTTCATGCAGAAGCCAGAACTTGCTGAACCTCCTACAGCCTACTTTAGCCTGGGCCTCAACTAGTGACTAGATTCTTGATTCTTAATGCAGCCTCTAAGCCATAGGCTGTTCAGCCTCCACCAGCAACACGCATTGCAGCCGTTAAACGTGCCAATGCAAGGTGCCTACGCAAGCAAATACATCGTACTCAAGCCCTTTCTTTATCTAAGATGCATCATTAAGAAAATATAAAAGCAGATCAAATCAACACGCGTATCTAGAAAGTGTTGGACGTCGTTGCTGATTTCTGAACAGGCAGGAAACCATAGAGCGTTGTGCCAGCTCCCAGCACGGCTTTCAACTCCAAAGGGGCCGAATCCTGCCAACAAAAGATACCAAAATACCGTGCCCCGCTAGTGAGACAAATGGCCTCCAACCTAAAAACGCGATGGCCTCCAACCTAATAGCGATGGCCTCCAACCTAGTGAAACAAGTATGAAGAGAAGAAAATTGAAAGTGCCTCAATATCTTTGATGTTGGTTTTTGTAGTCATTGCGTCACATCTTTTCTTCTCACAGTTGTAAGCAGGTCCTTGATTTCAACCTACAAACCTCTCTATATTATAGTTGCCCATCGCCGAAAAAATCACACTTACTCAAACATCGAACATATTGTAATTACACTTGGACAACTCCATCTCCAATCATCATTGTCCACATTGTCATTGGAAGCAAGTCTTCTCACTTCTCCAAAGTCCAAAGCACCGCCCCTTCGGCTCCTTTTCTCTGGCAGAGGCCAAAGCTTTGTGGAGCCACCTCGAAATGCCGTCTTCTTCACTCAAGTCACGTCAAACCACAACCGAGCCGTAGCGATGGCCTCCAACCTAATAGCTATCCAAGAGTTTGTCATCATGCCCTATCATGCCCTATCATGCCCTCAACCAGCTGATGGTGTGACAGAAGCTGACTTCGCAAATCGCGCCTGACCAATGCTGTGGCCGTGCCGTTCATCTCCCCCAGGAAGACCGGTGAGGCGCGCAACACGAACATCGACAAGACCTTTGAACCACTCGAAATGACCGTAGCTCGAGAGAACGAACATCCAAACAAAATGCATCGTCACACTTTCAGCACAAGTTCTCGAGTTCTCGAACATGTGTAACATGAAAAGAGTGCGCAATCTTGAAACGGTCTAGCAGGAAGCATCCCTTTATTTCCGATCCCTTTATCAATCAGAGGTGCACCGCTAGTCGGTTGGAGGCCATCGCTCGTCGGTTCTTTCGCGGCGAGACCCTGGCCACCCGATGACCAGCATACTTTCTGTTCTGAGCCTCAACGACGCTTGTGACCTGCAGATGTCAGCCCGTGCCGATGTGTATACTCGATGTTGTTGTTTTCTTTTCTTTGACCTTATGTTACTTGTTTTGTTTTTCCGGTTTCTTCCCTTTTTTTCTTTAGACCGTTGGCTTTAGAACCTCCAGACCGTTCTACGTCGACCTGACCGGTCGACCGCGCCTCGTCTTGCAGCTTGTTGGTATGGCCCAGGACGACCTGCGGTGGTCCCGCGGTGATGGCAAACCCGTGATAGCGCGTGATGTTTCGCATAATGTACACTGTATGGATATAAAATGATATAAATTTGTTTGTTTATTACAAGATGTAGCTTTTTCATGTGATCACTGTAGTCTCTCATCACTTTTTGGGACATGCACGCAGGTTGGCAGGTTGCTTATCGCTTCTGATATCAAGCAGAAATTGGTGTTGCTAGGAAATAGAAGAAGGGCTTCAGGTGCAGGGATTCCCGTTTCCTATCAGTTCGTATCCTCTGCGCTGTGCGCAGATGATAAACGAAGTACTGTTCTCTCGTGAACTGCATCAAGTTCTGCTTTGGACATGCTTTGGCACCCTTGCCTTCGCATCCTGCTTCAAAAGAGAAGTGACCTGAGCATGTTTTTCTTCATGCATGGAGAGACTTCGGATCGAAAGGCCAATGGCAGTCCCAGTGGCAGCCGAAACGTCTCCTTTGGCTGCATCCACCCAGTCTAGAGCTTGCTTTGAGCTCCAAAAACCTCCACAAATGCAACATGTGGCGCACTCAGACGCTCCAAAAAGAAAAAACAACCATCTTAAGTCTAAAAATAGTCGGTTGTCCCTAATGCCCTAATATGTCCCAAAAAACGGTGAACTGCCACGGTTCCGTTCGAAACCTCCCGCCTCCCACGTGCTCAGTCCAAGAAGGCGATCTGCGCCCATCCAGCTGGTCTCGAAGAGACGCCTGGAAGAACGATCGAACGTTAAACGAACGACAACGACTGGAAGAACGATCGGCCAACCTACCAACTTTGGCCTCCTACCAGTCTGAGTTCCTACCTATCAGCTTCTCTCTTTGGAGTTGTTGCGTGTGAAGAAAGGAACGTGTGGAATAACTTGTCTTTCTTTGGGAACTGCTTGACCTCACTTGGTCTGTATCGATGTCCGGTCAGAAACCGGTACAGACCGAGAACTCCGCCTCAGCCCGATGAAGAGCAGCGATTCGGCTCGAGGCATCGTCCAGATCTTCTAAGATCTCTTGCGAGTGCTGCACTAAATCATCCGCACGTGCCAAAGGCAATGGATCCTTGCAATTTGGATGTACAAATGGAGCTTAGAGAGTCCAAACATCAACAAATGTAACATCATCTTTGAAGTGTGGAACAGTCTGTGTCCGTGTCCATTGTCCGCCGATGCTTCGCTCCGCGGTTCAAGAAAGCTCAGGTCAGATCGTGCCAGAACTGCACCTCCATCGCCCAGCTGGCTTGTCGCAAAGTATGCTCGCTAGGCGCGTGTACCTGAAAAGAAGGATTGAAGATCTTGGGAGACGTCAAGTCCATTGAAATCCATCGCTAGTAGGTTGAAGGCCATTGGAGGGATATCTTTGTGAAATCCATTGAAATCCCTTCATGTTCGCCATCATTCGCCTCGATGGCCGACAGGAAGTACTCATCGAAGTCATGATAGCCACTACCAACTTGCACCTGTCAGAGACATGATGAGCATATGAAGACCATATGAAGAGCAATGCAGCATGTAACTTCAGTTCTGGTGTCTGGAAGTCCCTCTGAGGCTCTTTGGAACCCTTGCTGGAGTACACACGTGCATCAGATTTTGAGTTATATGGTTTGATGATATGAGTTGTTACTAATGCCACCCAAAGTATGAAAAACATTATCATAAGTCACAATATGAGATGACTCATCAAGGACCACTGACTTGCAATGTTCAAGATCTTTGGAACTTGCTGGATTTCTACAAGGTCTTAGGTATGGAATGTCTAATGTCCAACAAAAACACAATGTTTCTTGCAAGAAACACCCTGCACTTAGCCACCCTGCACTTTGGAACCATCGACCATCTAGGTCTTAAAGGCCTTCTTTTACTTCCAAGGATGCACCATAGTAGCTTCTTGCTCCGTTCGTAGCGATGCCCTTTGTTCCGTTCGTAGCGAACATTGCTCCTAGTAGTGCCAAAAAGGTGGCAAGAACGTGCCGAGCACGGACCTTCTTCTAACAGTGCCGCCGGTAACGCTCGCGACACCGCTGTCCGCCCGCGCTGTCCGCCCGCGCTGTCCGCCCGCGCTCGCTCACGCCCCGCCTTCCCCACTTGGCTCCGGTCCTTGAAGCGGATGCGAGGCACTCCATCCGGGTCAATCCCGGCCCATTTCACATCCTGGAAACATGGGCGAAAACAAAAGGCGAACAGTCCCTGCGGGACAAAGACCTAAGACCACAATGCCCACCATGTTGAAGAACGAAACTAGCTGCCCTGCGGGCACAATGAAAATAACGACAGATTCTTCAAATTTAATCCTCAATCTTTCGATATATACTGTTGACATAAAAATCAAGTGGGGAAACAATTTCATGGAGGCCATGGCTAGGAGGTTGGAGGCCATTCCTATTAGGTTGGAGGCCATCGCTATTAGGTGGAGGCCATTGCGAACGGAAGTGAAGTCCACTTCTTCGTCCCGGATGGCGGTCGGCGAGACCACGTCGTCTTCGACCCAGAGTGGGCTGGGCGGAGAGTTGGGACCCGTCGTTCCACGTCGTCTTCGCGGCTTGGCGATATCCAGAGTCTTCGAAAAATTCATTCATATCATTCTAAAAAGATCTAAAAAGTCTCTGGATGCTTGAGGTCGGATGAAGATTGGCACTTGATGATCAGTGATTGGCACTTGATGGTAAGGCGGTGTTGGCTTGAGGGGGAAGGGCACGATGGGCACAATGCTTGGGAGGTTATTGACCAGCACAGCCACGTGCTAAATGAGGCGCTCGATACCAACGACTTAAGCTTGATAGATGGCTTGGAGGACGAAGGTGCATTGTTTCCATTGACATCATCTGCCAAGAGACAGATAGATCCCCTTCGTATTCCTTTATCACTCGGATCAACTCCTCTTCGATCTCTGTCTGCGGACCCTGCCTCGACTCGCCACGGAGCATAGCTGAGCCGAATCTGAACATCGCCTTGGAAACAGTTCGAACCCGGGAAGCCGACTGGGCCCAGTACTGGACCGACTGAAAGCCTTTTAGGTTGAAATGGGAAGCAACAAATAGTATTCACATGTGGTTCTTCTCATCAATCTGTGCTGCATTTTGCAATGAACAGTCACTGGGTCGGGCATTCTTGGGCTCGATATCGATGGGCGACTGAAAATGTCCAGCACAAAGCTCACCCCATAGTCCACCCTCCTGACACGCTCAGGACCGACAGTTCCGTACCTGTCACTGGCGAACTGTGGGGAAAAGGGTGGCGAACTCTCCTGTCGAGCATAGTCCCAAGAAGCAGATTCTGCCTGCACCGAAAGAAGCATCGTTAGAAACCCCAAGCATGCCCCCTCTTCGCAGCTTCTGACCTGCCTAAGGAGAATTTGGACTTCAACTGGCTGCTCCTAGATTAGAATGAGGTAGGTTGGAGGCCATCGCTAGTAGGTTGGAGGCCATTCCTATTGGGTTGGAGGCCATCGCTATTAGTTCCACTGGGATCTACCGGACATCAGCGAACGGCTCGACTGGCCTCGCAGAGGAGGGGCGCCAAGAGATGGAAGAGTTTCATGGCGCATCACCACATCTCAGGTGTCTCTGAGGTTGTCTCTACCATCTGAAAGCTAAACACCTAGAAGGATGATACCAAACCAACGCAGTGAGTATACTGAGTAGACAGGATGGTTCTTTGTTATGTTTTTGGTTCATGCATGTGATCTTCAGTGATCTTCCATGTTCGCCGTGTTTCAACCGGTCATCACCAACTTTCCAGTCACGCTGCTGAACTCGGCAACCGCTTGCTGTGAGAATAGGTCGGACATGAAAAAAGAGATTGACCGGTCTACGTTGGAACGTATGGAAGTGTTGTCCGCCATGTTTGTAAGCAATGCAGGGAGGCGTTCATGGATCTATTCGCCGGTGCAGTGCATCCTGGCTGCACCGAACAATTGGAAGTGTTCAGCATGTAACATGTATATCTGTATATCATTTTCTGAGAAATGAGCTGCATCAGACATCATCGACACAGCTTGCCACAAGGATCGACTCACAAAGAGAAAAAGATTACTGTAGTAACAAAGGGTATCGCTACTAGCAGCGATCGGACGCTACGAACGTAGCTCCTGGCCTTAATACTAGTAGCAAGAAGCTACTAGTACTAGTAATATAAATACATACACAAAAAAGAGCTTCGAGTTGAAAATACAGCAGCCTCCAGAAGCCAATCGATCCACCAATTGAGTGGTGGTGAGACTGTTGGTCTCTCCCCACGTCCTGCCCAGGAAAACGATTTCACGTGATTTCACGTACCAATCATCCAGGGCTCGAAGTATCTAAGTCCAAGACGTGTACGGCTGATCTACAGAGCCAATGTAAATGCGATAGCCTGTGACCGGCACCTGGCGAGGAAGCTGGACGTGTTGAGGGTTGGAAGATGAAGAGATAAGTGAGCTGATGATGAGCTCAGTGCTCTTATGGATCTGCAATCTCTACTAGGGTGCAGGCCATCGTTAGTAGGTTGGAGGCCATCGCTATTAGGGTGGAGGCCATAGCAAGTATGGTTCTCATGGATCTTCAATGATCATGAAGACTTAATGGGCTTACTCCAATTGCGGTCTTGAACAAATACATGGTACCGGAGGTTTCCTGCTCAAATTACTTTTGCAAAGCTCCGCCGCTGCTTTTAATCAATTTCTGCACTCCAATAGCAACGCTTCCAGAAAGTTGGCAAATCTCTGCAACTCCTGAACAGGGCCATGTGAACCGTGTACTGAAGTATGCAGGATTCTAGAAGCAACCCACATTGACGAGAGAAACACAATGATGCATTGCAAATTTTGTCGATAGCAAGGTCACTTACAAAATAGTTTGCACGTCTTACAGGTTGTGATGCGCTTTGATTGCATTGTGCGTGCGCACATGACTTGCTGACGATTCAAGAAAAGGATGTGTGGTTTTGCGCTCTTTGAAGTTTGTCATTGCCTCATCCTCATCATTGTTTCTTGCCTTCTTTGTCTCCTGTCTTTGTTTCTCAACCTGTGGACTGATTTTAGACCGCTTGTTCCTTGTGTCTTTGTCTCCCCAGATCTTGTCAACAATGAGTTCCAGCTAGTGAGCGCTGTCCTTCCAAATTGTTGTGGGACAAAGGTTTACCAGAAGTACACGCAAATGCCAGATCAAACCCATCAAAAAATGTGTGGGAAGGACTCACACATCACTAGGCCTGGGCAAAACCATAAACAAAATAATTGTGGAAGATTGACAGTGGAGATCGACAGAAGCATTCATCGAGCGCCAAAGCGACCAGGTCTGTCCGTGTTGTGGATCGAATGGCCCCCACTGAACTCATGCACACGTAGCGAAGGTAGAACTGATTCCATGTCTCGAAGCCCACCCGGCGCATCCCAGGAGCAAACAGTGCCTTCCGGACCTTGAGCAAGTGTGTTGAAAATTACACCAGCATAGACCCCAACCAGCTTCAAGACGATTCGTCTAGACCAATACTAGTCCAAAATCGATTTCTTGGTACGCCCTACCTTCAACCCCAAGAGCAAACTGCTTCATCAATGAAGTTTGTCGGCATTGACATCGCTATTTGTTTGGCCACACTCCTCTCCAGTAAGCCGGGCCACAGAGACCACCCACAGAGTTCAGGGGCACGGCCAAGACAAGGACAAGAGAGGACAAGAAGAGGACAAGGCCCAGCCACAGAGCCCAGCCACAGAGGACAAGAGGAGGACAAGGCCTGGACACAGAGCCCAGCCACAGAGGACAAAAGGAGGACAAGGCCTGGACACAGAGCCCAGCGGACAAGAGGAGGACAAGGCCTGGACACAGAGCCCAGCCACAGAGTTCAGGGGCGCGGCCAGTGAGTGTGGCCAGCTTTTCTTTCTATAAGATAGAACCCCAACAGTAAACTGTCTGGGGAAAAACAAACGTGTGATAGCGATAGCCTCCAACCTAATAGCGATGGCCCCTAACCTACTAGCAATAGCCTCCAACCTAATAGCGATGGCCCCTAACGTACTAGCGATGGCCTCCAACCCAATAGCGATGGCCTCCTAATAGCGATGCCCCTAACCTACTAGCGATGGCCTCCAACCTAATAGCGATAGCCTCCAACCCAATAGCGATGGCCCCTAACCTACTAGCCTCCAACCTAATAGCGATGGCCCCTAACCTACTAGCGATAGCCTCCAACCCAATAGCGCCCTAACCTACTAGCGATGGCCTCCAACCTAATAGCGATGGCCTCCAAGCTAATAGCGATCGCCTCAAACCTAATAGCGATGGCCTCCAACTTTGTTTTACTTATATATGTGTTCTTACTACATCTTACTACCCTTTGTTGTTTTCTCTGCTTCTTTGGTTACTAAACATCCCTTCTGTCTTCCTTTCTCCCACCAAACACCAAGAATGCTAAGGGCCCTGGTCTTGGCATTTACTGCACCTTACTACGCACATTAAATGGCTTCGATTGAAAGCCATTTAGGAGTCCTATATACATGACTAAGATTGTCAAGCACGCGCCTGCAACGCAAACATGCACAGGATAGTCAGCAATTCCGGAGACCTTCAAGGCTGCAATCTGTTGCAAGCTCCTCTGACCTGGAAAATGCGCGACACTTGTTTTGTTTATGTTTGTGTTGTCACTAATGATTTTGTGATTTGTGTCATTCAAGTGAGTCATGTGGTGCACATGAACCCATCCACACCTCTTGCCTGGTAGGAAAGTAGGGAAAGTAGGTGTTGGCTCTCATAGTTACTGTATCTTAAGTCATCCAAATGGTTGACTTTACCAGAAAGAGTTTTAATTGACACTTCAATCTTTGGGGACTAACTAAGTGTCATGCTTGCTAATTTGGTATGCATTTCTTATGTGTTGCAAGCACCCATTCTTCAAAATTTGGGCACAGTCTCGCCTCCTACTGCAAAGTTTACAAGAGGACTTGATCTTTTAGAATACTCGTTGGATGAGTTGCTCTGAAAAATTTAGGAACTTGATACCAGCCTATCAAACTCTTTTAGAAGAATGCTTGGCCGCTTTGCTCCCAAAAGCGCGACGCATTGGAGCATTGCTGCGAGCGTTGCGAGCAGTTTGCAGGCAGCTCGAGTCAGATTTGCCCACCTTGCGATGAGTTCAGAACAGTCTGCTTGGCCAAATACCTTGGCATTCTGATCCAAAGAGGCCATGAATCTGTCGGCAAGTCTTGAAGCGTTGCTTAACCCAAGTCGCTGCGCAAAAGGATTGATGCAGCTCCAAACTGCTCCATTCTTCTTGTATACTCTTGGAGGTGAGCTTGCATACCAGCCATCCACCCTCTCTGGGTCGTAGCCTGGAGAATCAGTAGCGAAAAAGTGGCGACGACAACGCGCTGTTCGGAAGCTTGCCACTTTCGAAACATGCTGCAGCGACCGGCGTATATTTAGGTAGATAGATGTAATGTAGATAACTAGGTAGATAGGTCGTTCAGTCTGTCAATCTTTCATGTTCTTCTTTTTGCACGTCTCCTCCTTCACGACAGGTCGTCTCCCAAGTCTTGTCTGCCAAGGCACCAAAAGAGATCAAGGTCTCTCGAGCCTGCTCCTCGGCTCATGGGCCGAGCCAAACGAACATGAGACTCTTCTCATGGCCAGTCAGTCAAACCACGGCAACAATAGCGATGGCCTCCAACCTACTAGCGATACAATATATGTGTTTGCAATATACGACAATGCAGCATAGAACCAAGACTCCCAAGATTTAAATTCTCTTGAGAAGTTCTTGCAATTCTGCAGCTTCTGCCCCTCAAGGGATGGATATGATCGAGGCACGCAATCCTCAGTCTTCCCGTCTGTCAACATCATCGTTCATCCCTTGTACTTTGAGAGTTGCAATGCTGAGACGAGCCACCATATCCTCAATCACCAGCAAGCTCAAATCCTGTGGATAGTCTGCTGCGTACCTCATCGGCTGAAGTGCCTGATGGGTGATCCCTCATGAAACAATACAACAAGGCAAATATGTTCTTAGATGTTTGTGATTTTCACAGGTAACTCTTGAAGGAAAGCTATGTCAAGGCTGAACACAAAAAGAATACATCTGTGCAATTTTCAAGGTAACTACCTCAAACATGATAAAATCTTTCGAAAGAAAAGAAAGATCCGAATTAATTTCTTCAAACAAAACAAGTCTTCAGTCTTTGGTCTTTAGCTGTCTACTGTAGATACCCATGTTCCGTCGAGGCGCTGCATGGCAATGCGCCCACCCATGCTGTGTCCCACCAGGGCGACGCACCCAGAGACGTCGAGCAGCCCTGCGGCCTGGAGGCATCGCGAGCGCTGGGGCGCTCTGTTCGGTTCGCGTCTTCCCTATCAAGTTCCTTCGGTTTCTTTTTTTCGCGAATCTTTCGGTGGGACATGTGGTTGGACATGATCTTCTGAAATGTACTTGTAGCTACTTGGGAAGGTCCCAAGTGTGAGATCAACAGCACATTCCGCCCTTTGAAATGGCGCGGACAACAACAACAACAGCAGCAGCAGCAACAACAACAACAACAAGAAGACAACTCTTGCTGGGTCAAGTGCGCCCACGTCTCCTGGAGGGTGGATCTGACGTCTGCTGCAAGCTGCTCCGGCGAGAAGTCATCGGCTTTTCCCAGTGGTGATTCCCCATGACCTCCCACGGCGACGGGCGACGGGAGCGCGTTCCGGCGGGGCACGGCCGAATGGACGCCTGTTAGAGTCTCGTGTTTGTTTTTCCCAGTCGACTGGAGTGAGCAGCAGACGAAATACACAAAAAAATGGCCGTCGAAGTCTTGTTCCAATCAGAAATCGCGCAACAACTCAAGTCTTCTCATGTCTCCCTTCTTTTGCTCCTTTCTCCAAACACTTCCACAGGGTCGAAAAAGAAGGGCGGTTCCTGGGTTTGGTGGGGAGTTGTGCCTCTTCGAGCGTATCCGAAGCGAAGCTTCGATTCGATCTGCAGGGATCGGTCGGTGCAGACTGGATCTGCTTCAGTTCGACTCCTGGAATTGAAAGACCATGGCCAAGAATGAACAAACTACCCTAACTACTGGGAAAACATTTGCCACCTAACCTGGGATACATATTTGTACCCCGGTTAGGTGGCAAATGCTTTTGGGCCTCAATGCGGATGACACAAACACGCTTCCCACGCTTCACGACATGCGCGTCACAGTGCCTCGCAAGTCAACAGCCAGCGTGTGCAGGCCGCGTTTCGCCAGATCTTCCATGAGGCTCTCCCAGGTGCCTGAACACGGCGAATCACGGACACTGCAGCAATCGCACCAAGGGGCTTCTGGAGGCCTATAGAGGCCTAGGAGGTTTAGGATATTTTAGGAGCAGGTGTCTTTGTGTCTTTTAAGCCGTGGCCCTGCCTCCTCACTTAGTTCAGTAGGCGCCTAGTCAATTAGGTAAGGAGGCAAGCTACTAGCTTCTGGACGCAGGATAGCTCACACTTCTTCAAGGAAGCTCCCCTTGAAGAAGCACTCACACTGTTCATTTGGTTCCTAGATTTTTTGGCACTGCCGCGGCTCTGCCTGACCAAGAGTCCAGGCCATGGATGAGCACCACAACTTGCTTGACCTGCTTTGCTGGCTTTCCCTGCTCTTGTCCAGCTTCTCGAGATATCAAACGAACACATGACGATGAGTTTTGTGCAGCTTGGGCCACCTGAGCTGAGTGAAATGTCCGACGAGACGAGACGAGGATGTCGCGCCTAAATAGGCATCCCAAGTTCTTCCCCTGTTGGGTCAGTGGGTCGTTTCTTTAACACAAGACCCGGAGGCCATCGCTAGGTTGGAGGCAAGGCCTGGAGCTACTATAGGGTGGAGGCCATCGCTATTAGGTTTATCGTTTTTCTCTCGTTTCGTTATTTTTTCTCTTTCTTTCAAAACGTCGCCCAAATCGCCTCGCCTGACAGTGAGTCCTCCTCTCAGGCTTTGCTGCCAGTGCCAAACAGACAGTGAGTGCTCCTGCCCACCCCCAGAAATTCCGTGGAGCTTGAGCAACGCGCGGAACTGCAACTGCTTTGGCAGTTCTCCAGCTATGTATGAGAGGCCGGGCAAGAGTGGCATGTCTTGCCAAGGCCGCCATGAGGCCTTCACTTCTTTCACTGCAAAGGACTATTTATTTTAGGTTGGAGGCCATCGCTAGTAGGTTCCATGCCTTTTGAATGAGCTATCTGAACGATTGGAGAGTTGAGTCATTTTTGAGTCTCATCCTCCGCTTTGCGTGTCTGTGGTGACAATGTGTGATGCAAACACTCTTGACCGAAGTAACGTTGAGTCCGTGAAATGTTCTGCAGCTTGGGCCTGAAACAGGCTGAAGGAAGCAACATGTTCTCGCCTGTTCTGGTTTCCCTGTCTCATTCTGTCTCATTTTCTGTCTCGGTTTCATCTCATTGTCTCATGTACCTCATGCCAACCCTCCAATTCTCGCCGGGAAGGCCCCTCCATTGAGATTGCTCGGCACTCCCTCCCAGCTCAGGCTGATGCCCGTCGTGGCCATGGAAAGAATCTGAAGACCAACCACCTTCCGTCCAAAAGGTCGAGCCGTTCGGTGGTCGAGCAGTTCGGTGGTCGAGCAGTCCGAGCAGTCCGAGCAGTCCGGCGACGCGGCGAGCGAAACAGTTTGGAACTGTCCACCACACCCTGTCGAAGAGGCCTTGGTGGGTGCTTCCGCTGCGACCACGCTCAGCACCAGTGTGCTGGGAGAAGTGCCAACCTTATCATGACGTCTTCAAACACCTTCAGATAGCTTGAAAGTAAAGGTCTGAAGGTCTCTGGAAAACTGCTCTCAACTGCTCCTCCCAACTGCTCTCTCTCTCTCTCTCTCTCAATGTGCTAGGCCAAATGCCAGCGTCTCCGCGCGGATGCTGAAGTTGTAGGTCTGGCGCACAACTTCATTTACAGGTGGCTTTATGGGCGGAACTCCTTGAAACAGTCTAGGGCCTAGTAGGGCCTAGTAGGGTTGCAGCGAAACAATGACCCATCCTGGTTACGATGCAAGTACCCTGCCATCCTGGTGACTCATCGTTACCAGGTTCTTGATATGAAAAAACTTCTGAGTTCCACTTCGTCATACGCCCCCGGAGATCGCCGCATGCGCCTGCGCAGGAACCACCACCGGGAGTTGGAACCTTGGGAAGCAAAGCTGCTAAGCTAAGCTGCTGCGAAAGCGCCGTAGATGTTTTTTTGCAACCCCAGCCCATGTTGGTGTGCACGGTTTTGGCATGTGGAGGCTTGCCCGACACTTACGCTAAAACGAAAGCATGTGGAGGCTGCCCTGGTTTCTGCAACAAGGAAGACAGTCAAAAGGTAAGGTCTAAAAACAAAAAACACGTAAACCAAAAAAAACATACCTGGACCTTCCAACTACCCAAAACTTATGGTCGTTGTGGTTTTATGGTCGTTTTGGTCGTTTTGTTTGTTTTGCGTTATTTTGCAGATGTTTGTGGTCATTTGCTGGTTTTTGCGAGCGTTTTGCGCTGATTTACGGTCGTTTTGTCGGTTGCGCTGATTTGCGGGCGTTTGCGCGGAAACCCGGATCAATAACCAAAACTACCAGAATTTTTTGGTCGTTGGAAGATCCGGGTAGAAAGCGAACTCGTGGGATTGTTTTTGGGTGTGCAGGGTGTCGATGCACGTGTGGTCTTTGGTGTTTGTAGCTTTATTCTGGTGTCCAAAGCCTATGATTTCTGGATGTATGTACCCAGTTGTCACTTGTAGATCCAACAAAGGATTTGGCATTCTTTGCAGATCTTGTCACCTGCGATCACGGGTCTTGCCAGGTGTCTGCTTGCCCAAGTTGTTTTTCTCCTTGCTATTATTATAGCATCTGCCCTGGGATTTGTACGATGTTTCAGTATGATGTGTCCTGACCATGTCTCATGAGAATGCCATGAATCTTGAAGCTTGAGCGACGCCTCGCGCAGATGGTGCTTGCTCGCGTTGTCTACCCCAAAAAGAACAAAAACACAACGTCCCTGCGCACATCAAGGTCTTGCTGATGCGAACTATTGACAAGTCCATAACCAAACATGACATAACAGTGGTTCGCATCAGTTGCTCTAATTTTTCATTGGAACACGTTGATCCACTTCTAGTCCCGCTCCACGTGTCAGAACTAAGTTTGGAGCTCCCGCTCAATCTGTGTCGATGCCACCACTCCATCCTTTTCCCCAGGCCAACCATGGAACCAAAATGAATAAAGAGCTATGGTCTGAGGAACTAAAGATTGCCTAAAGAAGAAAAACAAAAAGTTCCTAGAGGTCTTTAACGAAAGAACAACGATAACATAATAATGAAAATATAGTGATTAAACACAATATAACATGTCGATCCAATAAAATGTTTCCTTTTTAGATGTGTCTGTCATCATTTTAGGTTTTGCCAACTCTAAAAACTGCACTTGGCCTGCGTGATGGCATAGGCAGTGACTGGACAGCCGCCTGGAAATCATTCGAACTTCTGTTAACCGAGTGTCCGCCTTTCAGGGTGAACAAGAAATAAAGACTCACAAATCTCTCACAAAAACATCCACTAAAGGCCCACCAAAACGTTCCGAAAGCACTGACCCTCAATGAAAGAGCGACTGCACAACGACCCGACTCCAAAACGAGGATCGTACCGTCAGCGGAGGGTGGCGACCATTCCACGGTGATTCCAAGAGTGGACCTGCGGTGGAGCAGTTGTTTAACTGCTTCATTTCATGATTTCATCTGTTCAGAAAGGCGTCACCTACGGATTTCATGATTGTATAACATGATTTCATAAAATGTGCATACTGTTCAATTACCGTTTCACGTTCTTTCCTTCCACAAAGCAGCGCTTTATTTAAAAAAAAAAAACTCTGAATCGGAAAGTCAGGCTCACCGTGATTTTACGGTGAAGTTGGTCGGCATTGAGGGCCTCGGAGAGAAACAAAGCTAAAGGGAACACTTGCCTGCAAGCTTAGCAAGCACTCTAGCTTGAACTTTCCTGTTGGCGTTCTTGTTATTTATTTCTATATTGATGATGATTACTAATTACTCTAATAGTAGTAGTAGGAGTAGTAGGAGTAGTAGTAGTAGTAGTAGGTGGTGAGGTGATGTTCTTTTTGAGCAACCAGGTTGCTTGCACTTTCCAGCCTGCAAGTAGCAATCGTGAGGTTGCACATCACTCAGAGTCTTCGACAAAACACAAGCTGCGGCTTCTCGGATGGCACTTCGTTGGCCTTCGCCTAGGAAAGTAGCAGCTCGGTTTGCACTTATTTGCACTCAGAGATCATCAAATAAGCCGAATCTGGTGTGTTCGTGCAATGGGTAGCGCCAATGCAGGAGACTTTTCTCTGCTTAGAAAAAACGTGTACATGGTATAGCTCAGAATTAGGCCAATGTGATTCACTGCAGCAATCCGGAAGAGGTAGATTGTCCCGGTGGTGAGCATCGCCTGAACGAACAAATCTCTGATCACTACCGCTAACTGAACAACTGCAACAGTCTGGACGACTCTGCCTTTGTGTATGCGGTGTCTGGACCGTTGTAGATCTCCTGGTAGACCTCACAGTCATTGAAATTGCACTTAAGTACATTCATGCAAAAGAGGAAGAAATTCACAGGAATTCAAGAAGAACCTTGTTTCTATCCTTAGAGCCCAACTCCACCATCCAACGGGCCAGACATGAAGAGGCGATAGCTCCTGTAAGAGAATCCAAACTGAATCAGTACTTCGTGGCCTTGTTTGGGAGTGTCCAGTGCCGGAGTGGGGAGTAGACTGGTGCTAACCAAGCACGCAGTAGACTGGGGCAGGAAAGCCTCAAGAAAAACTCCCCGACTTCTGAGGAACTTTGCTTGCCTGATCCTTGTAAGATTTGGTTCATAGATCTTGAAGGAAGTGGTCAAATCGTTGGTTTTGGCCTAGATCAAATAAATGTGTTTTTTAATGTTTTATGTTTTTGTCGTTGTCTTTTAAAAACCTCCTTTTGTTTGCTCCAAAGCTGCCTGTGTCTTGTCTCCGACTTCAGGCTTCTAGCCAAGGCACAAAATCTCTGAGCCCAAAGGCGAGGGTGAAGCCCACCTCGCACGGGCTCAGGCGAGGGTGACGAGATGTTCAGAACCAAAAAAAGAGCATGTTTCTTTCTTTTCTCTCGCAATTAGGCTGGAGGCCATCGCTACGACCGGGCGGAGACCATCGCTCTTAGGTTGGAGGCCATCGTTTCTATGCTGTCGCTTTCCTCTACGGACCGTAGATATCTCCAGGCCTTTCTTTCTTTTTTCCTTGTGCACTCTCTCTCTCTCTCTGCAAAGTGCCCCAACTCCACCGTGAGCGATGTCAACGCACGGGATGCGATGATGGGCAAACCAGGCGCCGCCGGTGCATCTGTCGTGGCGGGAGGTTTGACTCTTGAGCATATGGTTTCAGATCACATCTCAAATAATATGACTCTTGTGGAGAGATATCTAGTCCCCAAATTGAACAGGAACATTGCAACCAAACTGGAAATACGTTGGGGTGCTCACTGCCAGCTCGAATCGAAGCCGAGGCAGGTGATGGCTGCCTTGTCCCAAGGCGACGAAGCACCATGCGCAATGCATGACGTGCATCGAAACATGTGGAATTGCGAAACAGCTCCTAGCAGCGTCCTTTGCTCCTAGTAGTAAGGCCAGGAGCCCCTAGTAGCGTCCTTGCTCCTAGTAGCGATGCCAGGAGCCCCTAGTAGCGTCCTCATGTGGGTCCAAATGGACACATTGTCCACTGGGAACAGCACCCAACGCCAATGAAGTTCACAGCCCGCACATGATATACGTAGTCTTGGCCAGGTTGGACCTGAGTCGCGATGCAGCGACAAGCAAGAAATACGACTCCAGGCCTACATGATCTTTCCCATGTGCTACACCATGAAAGCAAAAAGCACTAAAGTATGTCATGTCATATCTCATTTGTCATTGAACACAGCCATCCACTGCATCCAGCCATCCACTTCGCATCGAGGTCTCGAAACTCTTTCACTCAAACCGTGCACACCGACGTGGACACTGGACGAAACCTACCGTACCTCGCAACTGCCGTCAAGTCGCTGTAAGGTCGGAGTATGCCCGCGCCAGGGGATCCTGTCTGGGAAACGAGCCGAGAAGCGCGGCGTGCCGAAGGATC